TATATTTATGTATGTATTCATATGTATATAATTTTAAGGAACATGTACACTTATATTGGAACTTGGAGAGGACACACAAAGACATATATAACTGTATTAGTGGAAAATATATACACATTAAAATGTGCATGTGCTCACACGGGGTTTATGTAAGTACTGAGTAATACATATATCATATGGTCTTTGCATAATGAAAAGCTTTTTGTTAATAATGAGACATCTAAACAACTACTGATGGACCAATGGATCAATTCTTCAATGATAAATCTTGAAAATACTAATTAATGTAACTAAAACTGCTTTTTTTATTTTTTGTAACATTATTTTTTAGTGAATTGAGAGAGAGGACAAATATGATTAAGGAAACATCCGAATTAGGTTGACACCTTACTATAGAAAATTCATGCTCTGTCAAGTCCTTCACTCTAATTTATTAAAAAGAGAAACAAGCAAAAATGAGATAAAAATGTCCTAAAAGTCTCAAAAGTGCAAAGAAAAAGAAACAGACTCTGAAAAATGCTCGCAAAGAAAACTGGGAAAAAACCTACATAGACAAAGAAAAACAACCCTCAAGCATATATGAGCACCAAAGAAGATTAAGGAAGAAAGATTTAGCCCTAAAGGAAAATCTAAAAGGGTGCGGCTATTAAAAACTTATCCGGTAAAATCCAAAAAAAAAAAAAGGGCATAATCATTGTTTTCTGAAGAGCTGACAATTACGAGCGCGTGAAAAGAACAAAAATGATGAGAAGAACAAATAACAAGGACAAATTCTAGACAATTAAACCACCAGCTGGAAGAAGCCAAATAAACTGCTTTTTAAACAAGTTTATCAGCTACATGATTACTTTCTCGGAAAATATATATACGAGACTATCCATATTACCAATGAAACTGAGGGCAATTATTCATAAAATTTTAACTTGGTGCAATATCATTACCATGTAAATGATAATATGAAATCATACCATGATCTGATCCTGGTGATCTAGATATGTGTGTGTGTGTGTGTGTGTGTGTGTCACACTCAAGTGTATTTACGTATGTCCGTTTGTATATACACATGTATAAATACATCTCTATAGTTAATAGTATCTAATTATCGAAACGATGCAGCAAGATACCTTCCACATGCGTATGAAAATGATACTTATAAACCTAGCTAGAAAAAGTTTAACTAGCTTCTTTGCGAACTTTTTTGCTTTAGCTTCTTGAAACCCTAATGATCATCTTTATAGAAGCTCATATTATAGTTGATGAGGACTGAGGAAAAAGAGAACAATGACCTGAATGGTCTCTGAACCGTTGGTCTGGACAGCAACTTCCCAGACGGGCTGACCCGGCAAGAGGCTGCTGTATTCACCGGGCAATCTGCCGTCGATTAACCGGAGACCCACCACCTTTGAATTGAACCTCACGCACTTGAGCACGTCAAAGTGCTCGGCGTAAGAATGGAGATAGTCCAATATCTCAAGGTGAGAAGGGAAGCTAGCGCTGTCCCTGTCGGGCCAAGGGAAATCGGAGAACTCGTAATCGCAGCGAGGCGATTGGAGCTTGGTGGAGCTGTAGGAGCAATGGCTCCAAACCCCTCCAATGGTGTCACTTGCCTCAAAAACTACAGGGTTATGGTGGGCGAGCTGTTTGGCAGCGGCGATACCGCTAACCCCAGCTCCGATTATGGCGATTTTGGAGATTACCGGAGCCATATCGGAATCGATGATTATGAGGAGAGGAGGATTTTGGCTTGGGAATCAGGAAGATATTGTGTGATATTTCTTAGGTACTTCTGTGGTTGTGGACTTGTTAAAGCATGGCGAAAGGTAGAGTATTTATAGACTCATGCATGAGTTTGGTCAAGATGAAGCCACGTGAAATAGACTTTGATATAGAGACAATAAGAGATTTGGAATTTTTTTTTTTTTTTTGAAGAAAGACCCAAGTGATGACCATTTCTTGATCTATTCTATATGATGATCAATGTTTATTATAGCTATATACAATGTGAAATTGGCTAGTTATGGAGGGGAAATTTCCTACACTTGGGGGGATTTTCTTTCCATTATGGCCAGTGGCATGGTTGAATTTCTCTGTGCCTTCAACGTTCAAACCGGCTCGATTAGTTGAGCATTAATTCAGAATCAAGGAAACTTAATTTAATATATAGATTATTGCTATTGTATAAACAATATAACAACAACACAATTATAAGAGGGGGGAAAATAACAATTATATTGCTATATTTAAGTTAGGAAATGGGAGGTAACCAAGAAAAAAGAAAGAAAGTATGACATAATTTTACCTAAAATTTACTGTATATAGTCTCTATTTTGTTCCTAAATTTCTTTTAGGCAGAGGGCAGAGTCTTTTTTATTTTTATTATTGTCGTTGTTGTTGTTGTTGTTATATTCATTATTAATGTTATTATTTTATCGCAATTTTGCTCCCTAGCTCTAAAAACAACGGTGTGAAAATTTGAAAGTTGGTGGAAATAACCACACTCTCATCACGTGATAACTTGATGTTTAAAAAAAAAAATCACTGGTTCTCTAAAAATTTTAAGTACTTATCACAATATTGGACAAAATATAATTGTAGGACATGGGACAAAATATAATTACTAATTAGTAGTACTATTTAGATATCAACCGATTCTGAATTTAAATTCGAAAAGTGGGAATTCATAAGTGTAGGACACATACTTTAGAGAAACCTGAAATTGGATGGAAATTAAGGAAACATCCAATAAATAACAAAAAGAGGTTTGAATGAAACTATGTACACACTGGTTTTATTTTGTGTTATATCATTCATTAATTAATGCACTTATTTAATTATTGTTAGTTATTGCTAGACATTAAAAGAACCCCTTGGTGTGACTTAACTTCAAACATGGAACAAAGAATCTTGAAATTGAAGAGTACACGTATCTTGAACATTTCAGTCTTTTTACCAAAACCAAGTACTAGCCGTTTGATTCAAGGTTTTGAGGTGGTTGCTGGTATTATATAAATTAATGTGGAGTCGAAACTTATTTATTGATTCAAATTAAGCTCTTATTTTCAATTACTTTTTTATGGTGTGTATATGTGTTTGTTTATTGTTTAATTTTCTACGTGTAGAACAAGCTGCAAATAATAATAATAATAATAATAATAATAAAAAAATAGTTTTAGTTTTTCTGTGTAGATTAACGCCTGTGTTTACATTTTTGCATTTATAAAGAGTACATTGATATTATGTTTTCAGAAGATTAGTGACTTACCCTTCTTTACCACAACAAACTTCGTGAAAAAATCAAATTAATTCAAACAGACCGCAAACTTGTTCTGACTCAACTAGTCAGTATTACATACCGGTTTTCTTTGGTAGTTTCAAGATTCAAACCCAAATAATGAAATAATTATTGGTAATCCGATTTTAAATTGAAATTTACTACTTTAGTGTAGGCCTAATTATAATTTATAATATTTGTTATAGAATTGTACTACTCAACAGAGTCTTAATTAGGTGCTAATATATGTGGAAGATTCCAAGAGTTTTACACGATATATATATATATATATATATATATATATATTAGGCATGTAACGAACTCAAGCTCTTCGTGCAATTACTAGGAAGCTTAACTTATTGACTAGTACGCAGCCGATGGATGCACGAGTACTGAACGGAAACTATCAATTGAGCAAATAAAAAAATAATTAAAACAATAGAGACAAAAAAAAGAAAAAAAAAAGATTTATTGTACTTTGAACTTATCCGTATTTGGATCCCGAATTTATGCATGTATGCAATTTACCTTTAAAAAAAAACTCGGGTCTCATTTGTCCGTACAAAATTATGATACAAGAATAATTACCGTAATGATCTTGATTTTTTTGGCTGAAATAATAATACCATATATTGACTTGGATATGTAAAAGTTAACCTGTTATTGTTTGGTGCGAGTCCAATGTTGATTGGGATTTAGTGGTGGTGCGATGAACCATACGGTGGCTGCAGGCAGCCACATTCAAATTTCTGTATGTACATTATTATTACGCATCATGGAGTCGCACCTGTCACTTAGAAATGTGTGTGTAGAATATATATATATATATATATATGTATATGACTTTTCCAACATTATACAATTCTTGATGTAAAACTTGTCCTTCTGTCACTCAATAAATCTTCTAATAAAGTCAAGATTTGGAATTTGTAACTCATCTTTAGAATGTCTCACTCATGATTAAGCTATATGCACGTTTGTACGGAGCAATAACTTCACGATATCTTGAATAATAAGAATTGTCACATTTTGATCCTCAAATTTTACAATATACAACTATTAATCTTTGAATTTCGTTTCATTCTTTAATTTTTCGAATGAGAATTTTGCAATAAGAATTGTTAATCATCTAACGTGTCTTTTTAAATTCTTATAGTGTCTCACATGCGTATTAGATCATATCTCTTAGATATTTAATGACTCTGACGACGATATCCCCTATTTGTTTTTGGGCATGCACATGATCGTGTGTGTATATGTATTAAAAATCTATATGCAACTTTTTAAACCGTATCTCAGCTGGCTATACATACATACATATATATAGCAGGCCAACATTATGCCATGAACTTTTTGAATTGAAATATGAAATTGCGTGAAATTCTCGAATTGCATTAATAATCCAGAACTTTCCAAAATCCTCTAAAATTTTGAGATGCTCTGGAAGGTCAAAAAGGCCCAATCAATTAGTGCAAAAAGTCCCCATTCTAAGCAGCCCATTAATTTGGATGAATTCATTCAACTGGGGTGGAGCCTACCACATAATTCCTAACAGTACTGTTTTACTGCTAGTACTAGACCAACCAATTATTAGTCTAACCTCTAAGGGTTAATATTCGTGACCTTGTCGGTGTCTCTTTTAAATAATATAATTATTTGATTAAAATTAATACAATAGATAAAAATTCATGTTTATACATTTTACGAAACATTTCTCTTTTTTACCATTCTTTTTTAAAATTTTCATAACATCTTGGCCCTTCTTAGAAGAAAATTATTTTATAATATGATAATTTCTACGGTGGAATTCAAAAAAAAAAAGCAAAAACAAAAAAACTCATTATTGGAACCTGTATTTATAACCGCTAATCTATATAAGTCCGTATGAAAAATTTACAGCGCTATATTAAACTGTTGCAATTGTAGATCTGACCCTTAAAAATTAATCTAACAGAAAAAAAAAATACTCCATAGATGAGTTTTGTTTTTTTCTTTTTGCCTTATTACGCATATGTTTTCAAAACATCTTAGACTTGGCCCAACTTCTATATCAACTGTTCAACATTACAACCCATCCATAAATTTGGGCCTAAACACCATGTTTCATAGGTACGCTTGGTCACTTGGTTGGACATAGTCATCGTAACTCAGAAAGTATGAGAGTGCAGCCCAACATATTCCTTAAATAGTGAAAAAATATCAAAAACAAAATGAATCAAATAAGAAACTTCTCAAAATAAAATCCTAATATAAAATAATCTGACTTTGAATATAGAAGTCAAATAAAATTTGGAGTCGCAATTAATAAAACTTGCCCATTTTAAAACCTAAAAAAGATATGAAAAAAAATTCAAAATTTATGCAAAATTTAGATGCAAAAAATCACAAAGATTGAAAATAACTTGTTTTAAAAAGATATCTCAAAATAAATATGAAAATCACCATTACCATAATGACAACGTAATTATGATAATTATTTATAAATTTAAGTATACTTGATAATTGTGAAATAAGAGAATATGCATTACCATAATGATGATAATGTAATTATAATAATGATATGTGTAAAATGAATGTAGTTGTAACTATTTTAATTCTATCACAATAACATGTTGAATACTAATAATGTTCCATTTGATATATTCATAACGAAAATGAACATGCCATCACCAAATATCATTATATGGTCATTCTATATCATTAACTATAGGATAGGAATTGAAATCGGCCATTGAATTCAGTATAGGATTTACTCTTTTAGGAGATGTCATGTCGCCACTCAGACTCGAACCAAGATGCTCTGACATTGTTTCTTAAGAGCACCGTGTCTACTGATTTCACCATAATAGCTTGTTCAAAATTATAATAACCTATTTTTATTCAATCGTTGAGATTGAAGTAGTCAATTCAATGTTATATGCAATATATAGATATATATTTAATATTTAGAAAATATTAAAATTGCTGAATAAAAATGTTTTATTAGAATTTTACCGTAATGCTTTTAATAATAATCATTATTTTTATTGGTCTATTATTTTATTGTAGTGTTATCGTCTTCATTTTATTTAACTTAAAAATGGGATATGAAAATATTTTATAATTTTATGCTCGAATAAAATCTAATAATTAGTGCAACTTGATAGTTATAAGCTCAATTTATGGATTGAACTCAAAATGTTCTTTCTCATTTTTAATTTTTTAATAATTCATTTCCTATTAATTTATTTTATGAATCTCAATAAATGTATTTTTTCGATGACATAAAAATCCTATTTTTATGTATCACAATTTTGTGGATACATGCAAGGGATTGTAACTCTTTGCATAGCTTTGTATTAAATGTTAGTTTTTAATTGTGTAGAGAATTTGTCTACCAAACAAATTTATTCAGTATTGAATATTTGTGGGTTTTAGGCTAAGCAAGGGGATATT